ATATATATATATATATATATATATATATATATATATATATATATATATATATATATATATATATATATATATATATATATATATATATACACACACACACACTATCAGTAATATGGATCGACATAAATCAGGATAGAATGGATGCAGTAGACTTGTTAAAATGATATTGACGTATAATGAGATTGCAAACATATATACATTGTCTACCTCATCTAAAGACCCTCATTTATCAAACCCAGCTTGTCATACTGTCAAGTTTCTCATGATGCAAGTATGAAGGCGACTCTGCAATTGATGGTTCACAGGATGTGATCAATTGCCATGGAGTCGGCTGAGTTGCTCGGCCACATTGATCAAAAACTTTTCAGCAACATATGGAAGAATAAAAAGGACGAGAACATGATCGGATGCCAATGAAAACGACGACACTCGATCGACCAATAATTTGCTGCCGTGGGGACTGCATTCCGCTGGAATCTGAACACAAGAAGGAAAAAAGAAAACAGTGCAGAAAAAAAAGGGGGGTATTTTGGGGATCGTATGTTGTTTATGTTTTGCATTATAACAAGTTATGACTGAATTATTATTTCTTATCCTGACCGAGTATTAGTCACCTGCGTGTCTTCGTGTTTCGACCGGTTCGTTCCCGTTCTATTCCTTGATCATCTACTTCGCTCACACATTTACTGACGGATGCAAGCTTGGTGTACTGTGGGATGAGAGACCGATTTGGACCCTTCTTTAATGAATTACTTATATGACATCGAGATGATAAAAGCCTCTAGAAATATACAAGAAGATAATTATGCGATAGTATTGGGATAGAGGAACGATAAAATAATAAAAACAAGATATAATCGAAAGAGAATATTTTTAACTAAGAAAATCAAAATAATATTAAATAAGAGATAAAAACCAAGAGCACTTGTAAAATATTTTCAAGCACGCACAGTTCTATCTTTGCTTTATGAACTATGATCTTATTTATAAAACTTAATGATAACTACTTCGTCATCTCATGTTACCTATGATTAAATTAGGTGTAGGAACTATCTTTATGATAATAGTTTCTTAGACCATGATCACTTGAGTAAAATTATTTAAAACATGAGTAGAACTATCTACAACATGATACCTAACTAAGATAACTATCTATAAACTTCTTAAAACTTTTATAAAAATAATATGGTCATGAATATATTCATTATAAGATTTCATTTGATTAACAATTTCAGTCACTCAAAAAAAAAATCTTATATCGATTTATTATTTTTCATGAATAAAATTTTAAACTCACGATGAAGGGTTTGAAGTTTTACCATAATCATCTTCGATAAGTCTTGAAATTCATTTTGAAATATCAATCAAGTTTATCTTGAGGTTATAGTTATTTTAATTCTTGAGAAAATTATCTTATGTATAACTTGTTGAACGAAGAACAATACATTTGAATCCTTTCTATTCTCCCTCGGCCAATTTATTCAATGCCTCTAAGACTTGAATAGAGTTTTCATCTTGATATTTTAAAATTCATAGCATTTATCCAAAAAGATGAGAATAAAGAGTTAAGACATAGAATTGAAGTCATAATGCCTAGTGCAAATTGAACTTGACTCTGATATCATAAATATTAGAAATGGATGAGTAAAGAAATAATAAAAATAAAATACTATAATATAATTAAAAGTGAATACTTTCAATAAAAAAAGTAAAATAGTATTAAATAAGAGGTAAAACTAAAAATACTAATAAAATATTTCTAAATTCACACACTTTTGTTTGATGAACTATCACCATATTTACATAACCTAATCATTACTATCTCGTTATCTCACATATGATTAAACTAGGTATAGGAATTATCCCTATGATAATAACTTCTTAGATCATAATCATTTAGATAGTAGAACATGAGTAAAATTGCCTAGAACATGATAATTATCAAAGATAATTATATATAAATCAATTCTTAGATCATAATCATTCTAGATCGATTTGAACCCCTCTTTAACGAATTACTTATATTACATCGAGATGATAAAAACCTCTCCATTACAAATATACAAGAAGATAATTATGCAACAGTTATGATGATGCTCCAATCCCTCTCGTGGTGTCCCCCCGGAGGTTACCTCTTTTCGTCTTCATCAGCTTGACAAGAACAAGGAGCCAATGGCGCATGGGGAAGCACACAGACCACCCCAGTGAGATGTTTCTGTTTGTGCAAAACAACAAAAGCAAGCGTGGCAACCTCTTGAATCAGAAAACCTAATGGAGTAAGAACCAAAGGCATCTTTGCGATAGGTCACGCATTAGTAGTTTTTCTTAGATAAGCAATGTATGAATAGTTGGTTCCGGATGGTGAACTTTCCTTTGTCATTTAGACAGCATTTGTCGAATAATGTCAATGGCTTCCGGCTTTATTGGAAATGGCCGTCTGCTTTCTTTCCTGTCCATTGCTTTCCTTTTATCATGGGTAGAAGATAGAGCCGTGAGAATGCCGGCAGTGTAAGCACAAGACTCCTACGAGTTGGTGCCTCATCTTTAATTTGTTTTCATTAGCTCTTGTTAGGATGGGGGTTTATTTACTAATTCTCAGCTTCTCCTGTTTTTGAGAACCTTCTGATTCATGGAGATGAAGTTTAGACATCAAACGAGGAGTAGAACGAAACTCTGAATCCATGATGTTGATGTATACCATTGATAGGGCACATTCCCTCCAACCACTATTCACAGCCACGTTCGCCTGAGTACAGTATCACTCCGTAAAAGTTGGGACAGCGCAGCTCGAGCACAGTGCTGTCTCGCAAAAGTCGGGACGGCACCGCTCGAGCATAGTGCTGTCCCGCAAAAGTTGGGACAGCACTGCTCGAGCACGGTACCATCCCGCAAAAGCTGGGACAGTGTTGCCCGAGCACAGTGCTGCCCCGCAAAAGTCGGGACGACATTGCCCGAGCACAGTACCATCCTGCAAAAGTCGAGTCGGCAACCATAAATATGATAG